GCATCTGCTGGCCTTGCTCTCACAACGCCACTTGGAGGAAGGCGCTCGGTGGAACTTGCAGCTGCTGTTGCATCCCCGCCAGCTGCTGTGGATTCATCCCCGCCAGCGTTTGCACTCGGGTCAACAAACATTGGCACTGGTGATGCTGTCTCAGGAGGCACAGGAGTCAAACTAGGCAGCATGTGGGCCGGTGTGACAGCACTCGGATTTGAAGGCGTAGGAGGCTCTGGGGTTCGCATCAAAGGCGGTGGCGGAAGCAACTCAATCAAGGGTGTGTTGTCAGGCACGACATACCCAGGATACGGCATGGCCTGTGGCCCTTCATTCACAACAACCTCCGGCACGACTGGGTCAGGATCCCGTTCCGGGCCTTGGTCTGTCGACTTCTGCCGTCGCACTTGGCCGGACTGCCCCGCCAGGAACGAGGCCTGGGTCCACGGCATGTCGTATGTGCACGACAAAAATGCAGCATCAAACTGTTTGGGCAAACGTCGCACACTCCTGCTGGAAATCAAGAAACCTCCTTGGCTCACCCCAAAGTGCAAGTCTGAAACTGCAAGTTTTCCAAGCCACATGATTTTGACCCATCTAGGTCTGCCCTTAACCGAAGACTTAACTCTGGCATAGACAACTTCACCAAAATTCACCAACTTACCTAGATAAGGTCTCCCGGTTATCAGCTCGAAGGCACTGTGCGATTCGGTCCTCGCGTACCTTGTCAACAGCCAACTGGCATGTCTGAATGCCCAAGCATGTACAGGGGAGTTCGTGCTGATGTGTTGCCCGGTCTCCTCTTCAAGCTGGGACAAAAGTGTTCCAGCCAGCTGGCGAACTTGGTTCACAGTTTGTTCTGCAGGATTCCCTTGGTGGTCGCCCTTTTCGGTCTGCTCAAGGTGTGTAGTCAGCTTCAGCTTATCTCGAAGATCCTTAACCCCTTGCTGCAGTGCCCGGCAGGTGGGCTCACCATCAGAGCGAAGGGTAACTTCGGAATGTCCGCAAAAGCCGATGAACTTGCACAACTCAGCCACTAGAAACTTGAAGGCTATCGGTCCTCCTTTGGCAGGCGTGGGGATTGCTGCACACGCACTTGTGTGAGAATCTTTGGCAATCAGGCAGATCAGCTTCTCCCCACACTCGCCGTGGGGCCTCTCAGTAAAGCAGTAGTCGAACGAGCACACACTGCACTGCCTGGTCTCGGGCCTGGCTTTGATGTGCTTATCAGCCCGCGTTTGGTACTTGATGCAATGTTCACACCAAGCCTGATACGGTATATGGTTCAGCTGGTGGAGTTTGATCTGCTCTGGCGTTGGCGCTGCAACCGGGGCTTGCTGCCGTGGCTCGCCCTCGAGCGCTATTGAATCATGTTCAACTTGGTGCTTTTCCAAGAGGCGCAACTTATCAAGATGGCTTGCTATCCTCGACAGAACTGTTGCCTTGCCTCCGCTGCGCCCAATGCCCAAGGCGGTGCACGCAGCTCGCAGCGTCTTCAAGTTGCAGCCTTCATGAAGCTCGACGCCGTCAACAACGATGTGCCCACGGCTTGGCGCTGCTGCGCTCTGGTCGCCTGGTGGATCAAAGCGAGGCTCCCCAGCTTCATCAAACAGTCTACCTTCATTGATGTCATCAAAGATTTCATCAAGAAAATCATGCGGCACTTCGGCAAGATCTTTCTCAGACATGTTAGCATCATCATCTGCAGTTGGGCTGGCAGCCCGCTGATTGAACAGCACATCGATGTCAACCTTGTCACAAGATACTATCGTGATGACTTGACGGGGTTCCTTAGGTTCAAACTCGGCCTCAGGCTGATCAAGCAAAGACAGATCTTGGTTCAGCTCAACCACATTCCAAGCTGTGCCATCACTGACAAGGGTGGTGCGGTACTGCACTCCAAGACTCAAGTGAGGCACAGACAATCCTGTTGAGCAGTCAATGAAGCTGTCAGTGACATCACACCGTGCATACACAAGAGGAGCTACTTCATGAAACTCATCGGACAACTCAAGCCACGGGCCTGAAATCTCAAGTGCTCGCACGGCGGCCTCGGCCTGTGTCTCGCCTGCTGCAACACCTCGGATGAAACCTTTTGCATGCAGACTGTAGTTCTTGTAGAACATCGGAGCACGAACATTGCCATCGGGGCTGGTAAGGTGCGGGACTTTGTCTCTGTCATGGACGAAGTCCCAACCATTCTTCTTCATCAGCTTTCCAACACAAAACAGAGGCTGAGTGACCGTTGACAACAACCACTGCTCTCGAAACCTCACGCCAGCGATCTCGATCGTGGCTGTGCGAGTCTCACGGCCCGCGATGCGGTTCCCTTGGGCAGCTCGGTACCACTGCTTGTCGGCACCTCCGGATTTGCCAATCTGGGCCCAACTCATGGGAAGGCAAGACGCATCTGCCCCTGAATCAACCACTACTTCTATGTCAACGGCCTCAGAAGGCGCACTTGCGGGTGATGTTTCACCGCTGCTGCGGTCCCGCTTCACCGCGCACAGATCACGGACAGTCGTGGTTGCATTCAAGGACTCTATTGCCTCCTCTAGATCAGGTAGGGCTCTATTGGGCGAATCTATTGAAGGCTCGCTGGCAGCACCACGCAAATCAACAGCATCATCATAACATGTTGTCCACTGGCCATCATCATCGGTGTTTGCCATGTCGTAGTGTTCGGCTGCTGGCACAGGCTGAAGATTGGGAAGCTTAGGGTACCCGTGCGGGTTCAGGCCTAGGACCTTCACAAGGTCTCCAAACTCCAACAAACCCTGGAATGCATGGCCTCCGTCGAATCTTGCCTCGCCTGGGCTCTCACGCCGCACTGCTCGAACACTTGCAGGAACATCAAAGTACTGAATGGACAACTCCTCCTCAGTCATGTCGACTTCAACCACCGGATCAAGCTGCACTCGGTGTACATTGGCAGGCTGCGACACTTGCGACGCAGAAGGACCAACTGTGCTCGGAACACTGGTGCTAGCTGCATCACTTCCAGCACCCTGCACCTGATGGACCCGATTCCAGTTGCCACCTTTCTGCTGCTGATTCCACTTGCCACCTTTCTGCTGCTGATTCCAGCTGCCACCTTCCTGCTGCTGATTCCAGTTGCCACCTTTCTGCTGTTGATTGCCTTTGCCTTTGCCTTTGTCGCCTTTGCTGCCCTTTCCATCGGGCTGCTGTTTGCCTTTGCCCTTGCCTTTCTCGCCTTTGTTCCCCTTTCCGCCGGGCTGTTTGTCGAATTTGCCTTTGCCCTTTCCTTTATCACCTTTGCCTTTGCCCTTTCGCTGCAAGGCATCTATTTCCATCGGCACCGGACCGTCATTCGAGGAACGACTCTTAGAAAACAGGCTGTCACCGGCAAACAGATTCTTGGAATCCCACTTGGTATTCATCCTTTCAAAATGCAAGGCAGTCTCTCGCAGCGCGCTGTACGTAACATCTTCATTCAAAACGGTTGCCAAGTGATTGCGCATGTTGTTGCTCACCGATCTGAGGAAGATGCTCGACTTAAAGTCGTCGTCAAGTTTCTTAGAACTGCCGCGTTCATATTCATCCATGATCCTTTCCATGTCCAACACTTGCGGCAACAGCGGTTCCCCGGCACGAAAATGCCCCATGGTTGTCAAAGCACTGAGGATGCCAAGCGACCGTGTCTTGGATGCAGGCTGGTACAGCTGCACCAGCTGGCGCAGGGCCTCGAAGCCGTTCTGCACAGGGATGCGTTGGATGATCTGCAGCCCTCTGCCTTTGATAAGGCTCGAAAGAAGCGCAAACAATTGTTTCGAGCGCCGTTCGGATTCAAGACTCGCATAAGGCTCTGCAGACAAATCCCTGGTCGGATTCCGTTCGATGAACGTCAGTTCATCAGTGAAAGCAACATCCAAGGCTCCTAGATATTGTTTCAAAGTCCAAAGCCAAGCGCTCCACTCTCCGTGCTCTGCTTCCCGATTCGCTGGTTTAAAGACATCTGGTTTCGGGAGCAACCGGGCCATGTCTGCCCCGGCTAGCCCCGACTTGCCTGCATCCTTCGTTGCAGCCAATGCTGCTTGCGCAGCGGTGCTGGCTGCTTGTGTAACTTCCATCATCTGTCTCATCATCAACACAAGGTCGCTCTGAGTCAAGGACATAACGTTCGCAGGGTTGCTTGCACTAGCTGTTCCTCCAGGACTGAAGGGATTTGTGGATGGATCGGGCACTGTGGCCAACTCTGGATCCTCATCATCATTCAAACCTGCACTCGCATGGGGACTCGCCATTGTAACTGCGTTACAGCAATCAATCAAGATCTATCGGCTCTTCTGCCTCGCGCAACGCGCAGCTGAAGGAGCTGCAATTCAAGTCAACCTCGGCACTGCCTGGTGTCAAATGTTGCTCTAACACTCCCACGGTGCGATCCTGAAATGCAATGTCACGCTCACACTCAGCAAGAGGATGCACTGTTGCAATCTGCAAATGCTCTGG